ATACGCACACACATGCGTGCACATGCACACACACACACACACACACACACACACACACACACACATATATATATACATCCACGCACATGTGCACGTGTGCACACACACACACACACACATGGATACACACACTTTCTCTCACCTTTTCTTTAATTATCATTTTGAATTTACCCATGTCATTAGCATTTTTTATAACAATTCTTTTAAAACAGTTTGACTTCTTATTAGTTACATTTTATTCTATTTATTTTATCTATTTTTTTCTATTTTGCTTGGCGAATGAACTATTGTCAGTGATGTAAAACATATATAATCATTCACGTCTTCAATCTGTTTGCTGAATGATCTTAATTGTTTCAAGGGGAACGAAAAAGATCCGCAACCAATCACCTCTCTGTAATATCCTACAGATCTACGACAAAATGGAGCACTACGACGTGGATCGAGAGAAGCAGAACTGGGACCTGGCCAAACGGGAAGGCAAGAAGGTCAAGATAAACCACGGCATCGACTTCTCCGAGGAGCACAAACAGAGGATGCAGAAGAACGTTTTCGATCGCCTCCTCAATGGCAACAAAAAGAACACCAAAAACTAGTGGAAGGAATAAAGAGCACATATAGAAGATTAAGAAGAATGTTTTCGATCGTCTCCTCAATTGTAGGAAAAACCCCCCCACCAAAAACTAGTGGGAGGATTAAGGAGCACATATAGAGGATGAAGGGGAACATTTTTGATCGCCTCCTCAATTGCAGCAACAACAAAAAAAACCACCAAAACTTGTGGAATTATGGAGCACATACAGAGGATGAAAAAGAACATTTTCGACCGCTTCTTCAATTGCTGCACCAAAAAAAAACTATCAAAAAGTAGTGGGATCACAGCACTTAAAACTCATAATGGACCAGCCGCATCTCTTAATAATAGTTACAAATATGTTTCAGGGTGTTTTAGAGCTTAATTCTGTGAGCTTTATAACATAAATCATTCTGCTAAAAGGCAAACCATTCTAGATTGTTCAGCACTGTTGTTCGTTCCATGTGACACTGGTGTAGATATCACTAGTATGTGACTACAGCTGTTTCTGATAAAAATGAATTGTATTGATGGAACAAACCAAGCTATAGACAGAAAAAGAATAAGACAAAACCTTTAAATTGTGACAATTGCAATTGTGACTAATGCAGTTGTGCCCTGTACTTTTCAATTCGAGAATTTGCCTCCCGACATACACTGAGTGTAAGCAAGTCACACTGCAATATCTGGAGAGTCAAGACAACAATGACAGAAGGTCGAGAACACAGCAAGCTACAAAGAACACAGAAAAGAAGTAGAAAGAGTACAGTATTCCCTCATTATATCGCAGTTTAAAGATCGCAGGCTCGGAAAATAGCAGTTTTATCCCAACAGAAATAACAAAATCAGGGAAGCCCTATTGACAACACTATTGGTTGAGAAGCCACTGATCATAATTATTAGCAAAGCATCGCAATCATGACAAGATCAGATAACTACAAAATTTCGATTTTACTTTTCTTGCAAAATGTATTCTACAAAGCATGTTTCAAATGCCGGTTAAAAAATTATATCCAAATAAAAAACCCAAAAGGGGTCTATTTTAACAATTTGAAAATCGGATGGCTCTAAGCCGTCCTTTTAATAAATCTGTCTTTTTCTTCTCCTGAAAAATTTACCCGAAGTCCCTTATTCCATCTTGTTACGACAGTGACAAAATATATATATACAAATGTTTCATTTTTTTTACACTGTGGTGTCTCATGCTCCAAGTGTACACAGCCTGTGTAAGAGAATGGCAGAGGTTAATGAGAGTAAGGGGAGGGTTCATGATGGCGTAAATTACTAAATGAATAGACTGTTTCTACTTCACTGATTTTCTCCTGTTGTGTGAGGTTCTGGAACGTAACCTCTGTGACATTTGAGGAAGTATTGTATACCACAATACAGAATCTGCCCACTCATCACCCACTCATACTGTGCAAACACACATGCCCACCCAGCGATGGAGATTAATCAATACCTCAGAATTACAAAGTTTTATCTGCCATTTTTAGCTGTTTTGAGTAACTAAGACAACGAGGTCAGATACCAAATGTTCTATCTGCCCTATCAATATCATAAAATTATTGGAAAGTGTTATCAAGATATTCACAGAATTGCATTCGAAAAAGCTTGACATGTTGTGAAATGCGAAATTTTTAAAGTCAAATTTCTCAAGACCAAGCACTGAGCAGATAGACCTTTGTGTAATTCTAAGGTAGCGAAATGCCCAAGAGCATCAGCTCACCACAATCTCACTGGTCAGTCGGTCTCTGTGGATGTGAACGGTCCGGTTGATTCTTCTCTGCAACATGATCATGTCCTGACTCTCTGCCGCCGTCGCCACCTGCAAAACGCCAGTGAGGCCCATTAGAGAGAGAGAGAGAGAGAGAGAGAGAGAGAGAGAGAGAGAGAGAGAGAGAGAGAGAGAGAGAGAGAGAGAGAGAGAGAGAGGGAGAGAGAGATAGAGAGAGTGAGAGAGAGAGAGAGAAAGAGAGAGTGAGAGAGAGAGAGGGAGAGAGAGATAGAGAGAGAGAAAGAGAGAGTGAGAGAGAGAGAGACAGAGACAGAGAGGGAAAGAAAGACAGAGAGAAAAAGAGAGAGTGGCAGAGAGAGAGAGAGAGAGAGACAGGTAGGAAGAGAGAAAGAAAGAAAGTGATAGAGAGAGAGAGACAGAGAGAGACACAGAGAGAGAGAGAGAGGGGGGGGGGCGCAAGCAGATTGAGTTCAGAGTGTTTCTTTTGGTAAGTGTTTTAAGGCGCTCGCAACTGCATAAGGTCATATGAGCCCGCTGGACACAATAAACATTTTCAATGGTAGGAAATTTTGAATTTTGCCCGGGTGGCGGCCGAAGCCAACTCTTATCGATTTTAGACCACCAAGGGATTTTTAACGTGCGCAACTTGCACACGAGACCTGAAATTTTACACCCTTGTCTGAGAAGTCTAGGTGTAGATCTTTCCTACCAGAAGATCAGGGGTGTGGCTGAAAGACAGCAGTGAAGTAAGGAGCCAAGGAGTAGCAGTAGAAAGGCTGCAGAAAGAGTCAGGAGCCCAGAGGAGGGGGCAAAGGAGGTGAGGGGGTGGGGGTAGAAAGTGAAGACGAAAGCAGACGACAGAACATTTCTAGAGAGCAGGAAAGAAGGTGAAAGGAGGCAATTTTAGAGAAAAAAAAATTTCCGCTCACTACCCGGATTCGAACCCAGGACCTTTGAATGAGAGGCGAACATCTTAACCTCTAGGCTACGAGAGCCCCTGTTCAGAGTGTCTGTGTTTGAGCCTGTGAGTATATGTGAGTGTGAGTGTGAGTGTGTGTGTGTGTATGTGGGAGAGAGAGACAGAGATAACGACCGAAGAGAGAGGGGGGGGAGAGGGAGAGAGACAGAGAGAGAAAGAGAGAGAGAGAAAGAACAAGAGAGAGAGAGAGAGAAAGGGAGAGAGAGAGAGAGAAAGGGGGAGAGATGGAGAGAGAGAGAGAGAGAGAGAGAGAGAGAGAGAGAGAGAGAGAGAGAGAGGGGGGGAGAGAGCCCAGGTTGGCCTAAACAGGCAGGTTCTAAACGATTTGGAACGTCAAGGGGAGTGTGAAACATCTACATCATCTACTTGCCAACCTGGGTAAGATTTGGTCACTGGTGGGTGGCAGAGATCACCCGCATAGAGAAAGGTATTATCTAGTGCTCCGCTTGGAAAAAATCCCCTTGTAAAGGAGGCAAAAGTGGGCGCTGGTTATAAAATGTACGGAAGTGAAGGTGATTAATCTGACAGCATAGTCATAATTAAGGCAAAAACCCGCAACTTCAGCATCTCAAAGCGGGAAATTAACCTTTTTCATAACAAAATAGCATATAACGAAAAAAACCATGAAACTAATTAATAATTTCAACAGTGCTTTTAAAGAAATAGTTGTGAATCCTCTATGGGGCGTTGCCATAAACTGGAATTTGTGAGAGTATCAATTTAAGAGCTTGCCAACTGTTTACATTTTTATTTAACTTTTCGCTGATTACCTTTGTCTGACTTCCAATCCAACTATTATTACAATAAACCACCAGCTAAACGTACACGAAGTTACGACACTAATAGCTCACTACTTCCAGTTTGTGATAACACCCGTTTTTCCATTGAACCCATCATTTTTAGAAATTTTAATGGAAGCACAAATATGTATAAAAATACAGGGAAAAATAGGGGGGGGGTGCAATCAATTCTTTTTATTCTTGGATATAAAATTTGAGTCAGTAGGTGGCGTGTACATGTTCTCATAGAAAGATAAGCAATATCAGAGGGAGCAGGTTTTTAGACCAAGCATGGACAAAAACCTGCCCCCACTGATACTGCTTATCCGCCCACAGACCAGATCATGCCCACTAGTAATTTTAATCCAGCCTACGAGTTGACCTATAAGATTAATAATGAATGTGGACCGCTGTTAGTTGATTTTTTAATAAAACAATAGATCTAATAGTTTTATCTCATGAGATGGCCTTGAGTGACATATGCTGTTGTGGCAGTTTTAGTCTCACTTATGAGAGCTTGGGTAATTCAAGCAATTTCACCTAATCTTCTCCTGCTCTGACCAGTGAGATATTCGAAATTGCTTAATCTGGCCCATGACTTGGACACCTTTGGCCATGCCTGTTTTAGATAAACAGCCAACACTGTGGAATGTTCTTGAGCAAGACACCAACCCTCACTTTAACAAAGTCTCAATACAGGAGTCATTATCAACGATGGCATGCACATGTCTGAAATATGAAAACGGTTAAGCGATTGCTTAAAACTCAATTTTTAAAAGTCTTAGATGAGGTGTGCTAGCATGCACCTATGTGTCTTGTTTCCACTGCTGTCCTTATATGTGTATAAATGTAATAAAGGGGGCTTGTGGGACCGGTCTAGAGCCTCGGGGACTGATTTTCACTCATTCTGAGCATTTTTTACTTTTGGTATTTTCCAATCCCCCATCCAGTCTAGATTTTATTGACACTAGTCGCTGAGTGAGTGACATTAACAGAATTCAATTTTACTGGGTTCTACGTTGTGTACTAACATTTTCAATGTTTAACCTTGTCTTTCTTAAAACACATTTTTTCACCACTTTTGCTTGCATATGTCATTTTTTTTCTCCATTTTTAAATTTTCCAACACAGAGACTTGAAATTTGGCATGTAGTTAGAAAATCAGTTTATACTTGTAGTGGGCTGGTTAGTTTTTCAAATTTTTGCTTGGGAACTGTTTTTTTACAATTTTTTTCATGCCAAAAATATCTTTTTTAAAGATCAAATTCAATATTCCCACTTTTGAGAACAAATTTGGATACTTTCCAAGTATATTATCAAAAATCAAAATAGCCAGCTGCAAGCATCTATTTATTTGTGACATTTTTCAAGTTACAGAATTCTAAAAAGCTAAAAACTGTAGGAATGGTGGAGAAAAAAAAACTATCTATCCAATTTTCAAGATGACCACCGTTTCCATGTCAACGGCTTACGTAATCGAGTGTGTCAACAGTTGAACATGAATCTTTTGTCTCATACCGAGTGCCTGTGACAAAAGTTGTTTCAGTTTGTCTTTAGTTTAAAATGTTGTAGCGTAAGTATCAGTTTAATGTATGGCTTAGAAAGTTCTTCCACATGTCACTGAACTAGTTTTCTAGAGCATATGAAATGTTTTTTCTTGTGCGAGAGAGGTTTATTTTCAGGAATCATGTCATCGATGTAAAGCATTCATAGCTTATACTCGTATGGATTAGAGTGTTATTTAAATGCAATCTCATATGATTATTATTATTAAAGAAACCTTTTTTACTGTTCATACTATTACTGCTAATATGTCATCCATGAATCAAGGGAAAATAAATCTCCCTCGAAACATCCACGAAGCTGTCTTTTTCTTGTTTGCTTCAAATCTTTTGTTTTCTCTTTTTTTTTACTGTTTTTTTGTTGTGCTTTCTTTCTTTCTTTTTAATCTGTTATCCTTTCTTCTTTCCATCTTACTTGTTGGTCTTTTTATCTTTCTTTCAGATGTCCTTTTCTCTCTTTTTCCTTTCTACTGTCCCTTTTTGCCCTTCCAGTTCTGCAGTTTATTCCATCTTCTTTCCCTTTTGATGTCCTCTCATCTTTCTCTTCATTAAGTAGACTATTCTTATTTCTTCTTTTTAAAAAAAATGATTTAGTAGCTGTTTTTGCTTTCTGTTAAAACTTATGTTTAAAAAACAGCCACAGAAAGTACCATATCTACATACCTCTGAAGAGATCTTCGGTTGAGGCGGGGCAGGGAGGGGTCCAATGTAGACCCCTGTCGCTGTCTATGGATGACAAAAGAAAACAAAAATGAACGCTGTCCACTCACTTATTTTTTTTTAGGTAGACAAAAAATAACAAACAAATCCATAACAATTTTTAAAATTACATTAAAAGTTGCACACCATATATGGAACTGAACGCATTTTGATTGGATATATTTTAAGAAAGTCACAATGAAAAAACTTAAGTCATCAAAAGTTTGAGAAAAAAAATTATAGAAATGAAATTTAACAGTTCGAAAACAGCTCTTTCACATCAACACACATAACCACATAAAACAATTTTTAAAAACAAACCTAACCCCCCCCCCCCCCCCCCAACCCCAATGCAACAACAAAATCAGTCAAAACAAATCTCTCACTGAACTTCATCATGAATACATAGACTTAGACGGGAAGACGAGTTTCTCTCACCCATCATGTATGCCACAAGGGAGACGAAACTACCTAAATGAGCTAAATGGTGTCGACGGTTTGTTTGTTTGTTTGAGTGAAAAGAAGAACTTCTACACAATAATGTTCATTTAGTGCTGGGAAAAAGGTAAGACAGGCAGACAGAAACAACAGAGGGAAAGTGAAGAAGTAAGACCTTCCAGTGCCGCCCTCCAACCACCGGCAGTGTTGATGGGGGTGTAAAACATGTACAATTACATAAATACAAGCTTGTGCATGCTGCCATACACCCTCCCAGGCAATCAGACTATGTCCCTACCACATCTCCTCCCCCCCCCCCTCCCCTCCACACACACACACGCACGCACGCACACGCACGCACGCACGCACACACACACACACACACACACACACACACACACACACACATCTCTTTCTACCCCCAACTGCCATACTGTTCTTCTGCAAAGGACTCAACAACCCAACTGAAAGACACAGATAACTGATAAAAATCCTCCCTACATGGAAATCAGACTCAAGTCCTATGTGTAGAGTGGCAAAACCCCAAACAACTACACCACAGACACCAGTCTAATAACCGTAAAGCCACGAAACTTAACATCATGATGTAAAACAGATTTTTGCTATTATTTTGTGACACAAATATTGCTATGGCAAATGCCTTGATTTGATAGTCTAAAAAAAAAATTAACATGCAAGGCCTGATACTTTCATTTTTGTGGTGTTCTAAGGCTAAACTAGAACCAGGCTTCAGACCATCTCAAACTTAATTTTCGTTCAGCCACAGAACGCCCGCACATACAAAAGTTTCAGGCCTAGTACGTAAATGTGTTTGGCACAGTGAAATTGAGGTATTGTGCTAGAGCAAATGTCACACATAAAGAAAACATATAACGTACCGCAACAGCGATCAGCATATTATCTCCCAAACAAATCTGGATCTTCAAGCCAAATAGGCAATTCAGGCCACGGATCTGAGAAAATAAATGTTTTTTTTTAGTTTAGTTTCACTAAGAGTTTAACGGCATTTGCAAAACATTTACGTCATATAAATGCCAAAGATTAGAGGAGTTACTAGAGAGTAAAATACAAAAAAAAAAAAGAAGCAGGAGAGATAAGGACAATTGATGTTTGATAGAAAAGAAGGAACAAACCACACAAAAACACCCTCCAAAATAGTAAAAAAAAGTCAAGATAAAAACAAGGTGAATAACCTCAGTAACCTACGACACTGAACATCAGAGTTACTGATGGAAACATATTACAGATACTCCTAGTCAGTGCCAGAGAATGAGACCCAAAAAAATTAAAGCGCAACAAAAGGAACAACAAATTTATAGCAGAAAATAAGACACATTTCAATGAAACATGGAACATATCTCAATGCATTGCAATCCAAAAAGACCTAAAAAGGAGGAGGAAATAAACATTTAACAGATGTAGGACCCAAAAAAGGGTCTGAAACAGATGCACATGTTCATTTTATATAAAATCACTCACAAATAGCTAATAGTTAGAAAATAATGGAGGTATTTGCATAAAAATTATTAAGTCAAAGTCCAAAATAAATTCCTGATGCTGCTCATACAAATAAGTTCACTAATATAGCGACATGGATGTTCCAGACCAATTTTATTTTGCAAAAGTAAAAGAAAAGTACATTGATACGCTATGGTCATTTGGTGAAAGGAAAAAAGCAAGACAGGCAGACTACAACATGGAAAGAACAATGAAAAAATATGACCTCCCGGTAGCACCTTCCAACTACACATTGCGAACAAAATATTTGCTCTAGTCTATCCTGAAGACAGACTGCTACTTTTCACTCGACAAACTTGTTAATTATTTTTGCATCTAGATGGGAAATAACTTTATCAAAAGAAACCAGATGCATCAGACACCAGGGTAGACTAGGGGATTTACTCCAATCTTAAAAATCATAATTCACACCTATGTCCTTTATCCAAAGGTGAAAATACTATCATGACCAGCATTTTATTGCCGTTGTTTGCGTTAGAATAAGCACATGATAGCATAGAAGAGACATCCCATTTATGTGTAATGCCTGTACAGTCGAAAATTGTCCATGATGGCCACTTACTGAGAAGAAAAGAGATTGCCTTAGACAGGTCAACAGCTGGGACAGTGTTGTTATAATATTTTTAAAAATGCAAAGGGGAAAGTGTGAAGTGGCTGTTTGCAAAGGTGATTGTCTTGAACAGGTGTCCATTAGAGTAGATACAACTGTTATTTAGTCTTGTTGCAATCTCCTGCGAGAGTGGCATAGTGCGTGGGTCAAATGTTTAACCACACCAAAAACAAAGCATGTCACGAATAATGAGAGTGCACATTTGATGCCAAACACACCTTGAGCTTGTTGATCAGCTGGTTGTGGACTTCGTACTCCACGAAAGGAAGACTCTGAAATAAAAATGTTAAAATACCATAGAAAGGTAATTCTCAGTTTGTTTTTCTTCTTATCTGAAACATCAAACTTTGTTTCTCCAGCAATGAATAATGTTCAGAATGCAAAGATTAATTAAGTTATTTACTAAAATCTCAAGCTATGAAAGATCAAAAAAGCATAATATTGCCAGCCCTGGTTACTGCTAGGTTTTGCCAATGAATTAAAAGTATAAACTTACTATTTGCCCCTTTAACCACCATCCACCAACTGCCTGAGTTGAAAAGGACTGTATGTATTACCTGTATTACCTGTACTGGGCAACAACGTCATTGCACACCGGACAGGTCTATAAGTGCTCAGTTCCCTCCACCACCAAAGCCCGCAAGGTACCCGTACTGATTGTTCCGGTGGCTGTCTGACTATGGTGACATCTTTCCTTTCCAGATAATCGTTCCTTTCTTCCTTCTCCCCTCTTTATCCCCATTTCCCGAATCCTACTGATTACGTGGTGTTCTGCTGTCTCCCTGTCTTCCTCATTCCGCAACTTTCCTCCAGGGTCTTCAACACCAAAGGAGAAGTGTTGAAGACTGCATGTATAAACATACTATTTGCCCTGTTAAACCATCATCCACCAACTTCTCATGTTGTCTTCACCCCCTGACCCTAGGGTAGGTAGAATAAAACACTTAGTCTTCTTGGATAAGGACTAACAAATTGAAATGTCCTGTGAGGAAGTTTCGCACTTTAAAGATCATTTGGCAGTTCAAAATTCCAAAACAGGTGTACTTAACAAATTCCCATCCACTGAGCAATTCTAAAAGAAATTTCTGAAATGAACCAAACGTGAATCCCTAAATTTTCCAAACAAAGCTGATCACACAAAATAGAAATACAGTGACAGCATACAGGGAGGTTCTCCAATTGGAGGACGATAAAAATGATTTTGTTTTATTTCCAAAGACAATTTGCTATCCTTACAGTGTTTGTGCTGTGCTGGTTACATATTTCAAGTCCTGTGCTTTTGTAAGATGTGCAGACCTGCCAACCAGGGGCAGCTAGTCTATAGAGCCCGGTCATGCACTGCCGCCCAAAAATGTTAAAGCGCACAACACCCACAAAGAGACAATAAAAGAACCTTTACCTTCCACCATCCAATCAGTATTCTGTACAAGTTCCTCGCCAGAGCTTATTCATTCATTACAACATCTACAACATCTACTATACCATACCAAGTTCTTGTGCTTCTCCCAAGTAAAAAACATCATGTTCAGTGATGTAATCTATCTCGGAAAATGCTCTATGGGCCGATCCAAACAATGATGACGTTTTGACCGAGTTCCTTAGTTCATAAATATAAATAAGGCGACACAATCTCAATGTGCACCAGCCGAACAAAGCCCATAGAGGCAGTCTAAAAATATTGCGTCCTCAGACCAGTTCACGATAGCCTATATAATTCAATGCCCGTATTATGATAGCTTTGGAGCAATCCGTCGGAGTGCTCAAAGTGATGTGCGATTGGTCCATTGTCTTGCCATTTATATCTCTAGCCCCATCTCTGTAACCCTGAACTTGAGCGAGGTCAGTATGACGTAATTAGGTCATTGTGTTAGAAGTTGGAATGGTGTAGGCCTAGTGGTGAAAGTTTTATTACTCGAGTGTGTATTCCAATGCAGGATGAATGAAGTTGATAGCAAATAAAATCAGTTCACCAAACAAAGTAACAAGAAGAGAGTGAAAGAAATAGATCCTCACCAACCCAAAGATATCAAAATAATACTTTACCAACAAAAAGTGGTGTGGCTTACAGCCAGCTTTAGCAAATACAGTCGAACCTGCCCTGACGGCCACCTCTATAAGACGGCCACCTGTACAAACGGTCACTTTCCATTTCCCCCCTTGCGTTTTTTCTATATAATTTAACTGTGTAAAACGGGCACCTGTCCAACGCGGCCGCAGCCACCATAATTTAACACACAACCCCTATCATACTAAGCAATAATGCCTGTCTAAGACGGTCACCTTAGTGACTCCTTTACGTTTTGTCATAAATTGTGCATTGGCCCGCTGGCGTTGTGGGCGAGCCGTCATAATTCAATCACCTGTCGTTGTTGTTAGGTAGTCCCTCCAACCGATCATGTTGCGTAGGCCCCTCCCACTGTTGACAATAGAGCCTACCAATTTTCAGCTGCTGGTGAAGTAAGTGTGTAATCCCTCATAACCCATAAGCTCCGCCCAGAACTCATACACAAATCATAAGTGAGATGAGTGGTCACTGTTTACCCAGTCAGTAACGAAGTAACAAAGGACGTCAACATGAACTTGTTACAGAAGTGTCCCTCGTTCTCCGAGTGGTGGCGACCCATGTGTTTGTTTTAATATGGCACTCGGTCTTCCTTGTCTGAGACATTTCGTTTTATTGCCACCCTTGTGCAAAATCAGCGACAAAATTAAAATTACAAACGAAATACAAACCAACAACAACAACACCAACAAAGACATCATAGTGGGGCTACTTTCGATTGGGGCCTCAAATGGGAATGGTTCGTTTTCTTTATCTTGATCAGTCCTGCATAAGACGGCCACCTGTTTTATACGGCCACTTTTCTCCTTGACAATGGGTGGCCGTCTTACACAGGTTTGACTGTACTCATTGTAGGCCTGCTGTTTCTCCTGTCTGCTTTTTGGAACAGACGACTCCAAGTAATAGTCTATGACAGGTTTTACTGATCTTGTAAATGTGAAACAACGAATTAAAGTCACGAGTCATCAAGAGCGCACGTAAACAATGCCGTTAAGCATCATACTTTCGGTCAAGTAGACATAGCAGCATAGCTAGTCGTTGGTCATCACATTGCAACGTCTCACAATAAGGAACTAGTGAGAAAGAACAGGCACGAATTGTGTAAGGTTATCGAGTTATTTTGTTCTGTGAAATTCACGAACTCGCCCTTTGCAGTCATGAAAAGGGTGATTTGTCGGGGAACAGAGGTATTTTTCGCTAACGCTATGCAGTCTCTTTGACATTTTTTACCCACTCTACAAAATGCATCGGCGTTCTCAGACGCGTTTGTCACAGGAATATTCCAAGGCCGTCTGGAACAAAGTGGAATTTAAAGTTTCGACTAATTAGCAGTCTTCATTTGGAAAAGAGAGATCCACCTTTGTCTTGAAGAAATTCAGTCTGAGCAGTGGGACGATAATTCCATCCATGATGGTATCCTGAATGTATAAAAGAGCGAAACATTTCTCTTCTTTTTGCACTTTTTCAACAAAACGTTCACGGACGTTGGCACTGTTTATGGGATCCTCTAACACAGAAGCACAACGCCAATAGCAACCTAACAAGCTCTAGACACGTTTAAAGTAGCCGTCGATGAAATTAGAAACAGTATACGTGTTCTATCAACAAAACAGACCACAGAAAACATACTTCCAAGAGACGTAGACATTACAACACCAACCAAATTTTGGAAAGCAGGCCTGTGACATAGGTCTAATAGTTTCTCAAATTGTTCACAGTTTCTTGAAGCAAAATAAATTCAACGCACTATCAATCTTCAACTCCTCCGAATTCCGGGACTACCAAAAGTCGTTTCCTACAGTTCTTTTAGGATCATTTACAAAAATATTACTGTATTGCATAAAATCAAGTTACAAACAGAATTATAAGTATTACATTGCAATGAAATATTTAAGTCTGCTCAAGGTCATACAATCCAGGGCCTTTATTCAACTCTGAAGGACTACAAACTCGACACAACATTAAGAGAAGCATGCAAAATCCTAGAAATCGCACTGACGTTTATGTCGATCCACAAGGACATCATTAACAGCATGCTCAACTTCGTCAACAGAATAATGGACACTTTTGCTGCAGCAAAAGAACGCAGCAAAAGAACGAAAGGTAGACTTCTTCTTCAAATAGATTTTCTCAAAACAGGTAGGATGAAGAAAACATCTCATTTACCATGCCCTTAACTATCTTCAACCTGCTTTAACCTAATTGTGCGCGCCCACTTTTAAGACCCACGAGCCGCCCCTGCTGCCAACCACTCCATGGCCAAAAATAGGAGTTTTCCTCAGAATCCTCCCTAGAAATCAGAGTTTGAGGAAAAAAATCGGAATCTCCAGAACCCTAGGAGATTCAGATTACATTACGAACCAACCGTGGCAAATATACATTCATTGCAATGTGTATTTTCACGTCATTTACAATAAGTCGTACAAATATTCCAAATGAACCTGTGTATTTTCACATCATTTGAAATAAGTTGTGTACGACCACTGGAAACAGAAATTTTAAAAAGATAAATAAAAGCAAAACTTTATGCAAATCTGATCACTGGTCTCCTATAAGCAAAAAAAAACAATTTTTTAATCAGAGGGTTCCAAGCTTATCTGAGTACTTGGAAAGTCTGGATATGGCTACAAAAAGCTCTCTCTGAGAATTTCATTCAGTGTGAAAAAGGGCAAGTTAATCCACGTGCTCAGACCCGCTGGGTTAAATTAGACATCAATTTCTCTGTGTGTATTTGTAAAGAAAAAAGCATACTTACGTCACTGACTTCTCTGGCCGACTGTTCTGATGTTTTGGTCTTGCTCTTAGGGCGACATATTCTAAAAACAAAGAAAAAAAATGTTTACCATTACTTATCAATCTCGTTCACTGTAGGAGCTTTGACTCATAAATCTGATGTAAACATAATTTAATTCCCTTCTGCTCGTAAGTGCCTTAAAACAAGAGTCTATCCAAGTTTTGAAAGTGAGGAGAGGTACAGACAATAAAAGATCACTTCTGGTTTGTTTGCAACTCCCTGCCAA